GTCCGCCATAGCCTCGGCCTATGTGTGTGAAGAGTGGGAGAGGCGGCCATGGCTATGGTGGACCATGAGTGATACCTGCAGTAGAAAAGGGACTCGGACATTATTTGGGACCAGTCATTCAACATTGTATTTTTATTTCTTGTATGAATAAGAGAACGGGGAGATAAGGAGGAGATTGTTGGGCGAAGAAGAAGAGCCTTGTCATTGTCTTTGCTGGTGTACATCGTCTTCTTCTTCTTCTTCTTCTACTCCTCTCTCTCCTCTCAAGTTCATTCATTCCTTTCTGCAATTGGATGGCATTGTACTTCTCAGTGGATGTGTATCTCGAAATTGGACAGGGTCATAACAAAACAACCTTCTCCACCCGCACAGTGTCTTTTCTGCAGTCTTCCCCCGAATACAACATACGGTCATTATAGCTGAATTTAGACATACATACGGTATAGCTGAATTTAGACTGAAAGATGCCCCAAATCCAGCTATAATGGCCATGCGTTGTATTCGGGGGAAGAAAGTAGGCTGCATGTTTTCCCTCCATTCCACTCTTCACCCACCCCAGCCCGCCCTTCTACAATCTGCACCGCGAATGCCCCAAATTCAGCTACAATGACCAGGCGTTGTATTCGGGGGAAGAAGGTAGGCTGCATGTTTTGGGATAATTGGTAGAAGGAGCCCACGCCAAAACCTTTTGGCCGCCCAAAACTCGGCCGTTTGGTACTACAGGCCCAAACGTTTACAGCCTGGGTGAAAGGCGCCTTGGCGCCGTGGCCACATCACCCTGGATTACCGGTTCGAAATTTGGCGCTGTTTTTGCGCCAGATTCATGAGCCGATAGGGCCCTTCTTTCTCAAAATAGGGTACGTGGGCCTCATTCTGTACTTCAGCGGTACCACCCTTGGCCTCTTCCACATCAAAATGAATCTGGTGCTTTTATGCGCCAGAGTCATGACCCGGTAGGGCCGTTGGAGCGACGCGTGGGCCTGTAGTACCCCGCATGGAAGTCATTGGGCCTCTAGTACAGAACGGCCGAGTTTTGGGCGGCCAAAACCGAAAAGGTTTTGGCGTGGGCTACTTCTACCAATTATCCCGCATGTTTTCCCTCCATTCCACTCTTCACCCACCCCAGCCTGCCCCTCTACAATCTGCACCGCGAACGCGAATCTCCGACAGACGAAATCGAAAGAAAAGAGCCTTCGACACGCGCGCGGTCTCTTTTCCAGGCTGCACACATGCATTCAGAAGCTTTATGCACAAGGTGCAATCCGACAAGTAAATGTCCAAATGCATGCGCGTTTAACGCAAATCTCCTCTCGACGAAATAGAAAGAAAAGAGCCTTCTACACGCACGAAATAGAAAGAAAAGAGCCCTCTACACGCCTTCTACACGCCTTCTACACGCGGTCGCTTTTCCAGGCTGCAAACACTGCATCTCCACGCGTTAGGGACAAGATACATTCACACACATGCATTCAAGGTGCACTCGGACAACTAAACGTCCAAATGCATGCGCTTTTATTGTAGTATATGGAGCGAGGCCCAATGCACAGGCAGCGAAATGAATCCCTTTGTCTTCTAAAAAGCATGCCGGGCCCTCCGCCGAAATCGAGACCGAAAAACAGAAGGATGGAAAAAACGAAAAAAAAATCGTCTATCGAAAAAAAAAACAAAAGGACGGGATAAAAAACAAAAACGATGGTCTCCCAAACAGGAAACACTAGACGCCCGCCAGAGACCTCGGACGACCTCCCAAACCTACCGCTGGTCGCTAAACGTCCAAGCTTTCGCGTGACCGCTTAGCCTACCTGTCGTTTTTACGTTTGCGACCGCACCCTTCCAGCGCCCCTGTCGACGCCCTGTAAACCCCTGTTAACGGTCGACTTTCCCTGAAAAGAAAGCTGTGCAACACGACAAAAAAGCAAGGGGGGGTAAATGCTATTTTTGCTCCAAAAAAGAAAGCGACGGGGTAAGGCGGTGCGAACTCTTCAGCCTCTATCTTAAACGAATGAAAACAATGACGAAACTCTTCGCAGGGCTTCGTGGGTTGTCAGCGTTCGGATGGTTCGATATTGAGAAGAGAAAAGAGAGTAGCGGCATAAAAAAGTAGGACCAACAACAAAGAGAAACATCCCAAACAAAGGAGATGGGTCCAGCATGTTGAAGCAATGGACAATGCTTTGTACATGATCCTGGCTTTTAGTCCGAAAAACAGGGAATCATCACAGAAACCAATATTTGATTTCCAGAGAATGACGCTTTATGAAGTACCGGGTAACTACCGGCTTTGTTCTAATACGTAATGTAGACAGTTCCACTCTGGCCACGAAAAATTGAAACGTTCGGTGTCCTCCTCCGCGCACAAGGCACGGCCATTATAGCTGTATTCGGGCAACTTTCATCAGACAAATTGCGAGATGAGGCCCGGGTATTATACTGCCGTGAAGACGATCGAGGCACTACGCTCTTCCCGCGAATAGAACACACGGTCATTACGACTGTATTCAGTGGAACTTCTCGTCTATATAATGCGATAATGACCGGCGGTTCTATTTGGGGAAACAAGGTGGTCACATAGTGCACGGCGGTAAGGAACACAGGAATATAAATAGGCAGAAATGAAGGAGCCAGCTCCCCGAACGACGATCTCCAGCAAAAGGAGAACCGCAAGCAATCATCAATCGGCCAGATCCAATACGTGTACGGACCATTATGAATCGGCCTCGACTTGCGCTAATCTTGTTACTTAAAGACGATTGTTTTTAATTCATCTACTTCGATATGATGCCGAACTCAGGTCTGTATTTCATGGGTGTACGAACTGAGATAGCCCCGTTCAGGCTGGCAGCTGTCACGAAGGGAAGAAGTTCCACGATCACCTTTGCATCTTCACATCATTTCCCCTCTCCTTCCACCATCCCGAATCTTATTTCCCTCCCCACGCATACAAACTTTACAAATTCTGTCCCAAGACAACCTTTCGGTTCTTACATACATCGAAGGCCTTCATACTTTGAAACGCCTTCATTCTTATGACCATCACTCGTTTCCTGTAAGACACACTCGACTGTGGCAATCGTTAACTGCCATAATGACAAAAAGTAGGGCATTGACGAATGCAACAGTTATTTTGTCAATAAAGACCGGGAAGTCGTTAACACGAAAACTGGCAACTCAAAGAATTGTAAGTGATATTCATAGCCTGCCTCTCTCTCTCTCTCTCTCTCTCTCTCTCTCTCTCTCTCTCTCTCTCTCTC